AGGGAAGTCAGAAGCTGGGTGGGCATCGGAATGGAGCTGGAAGAGAGGAGCAAGGAAAAGAAACAATTTCCGAGGACAAGGCCAGTGTAATCAAGGCTCAGTTTGCCTGTCTGAAGGTGGGCAAGTCTGATTTCAAGGTCCAGCCCTGTTCAAAGATACAACACACAGAATTTCTGCAAGAAAGCAGAGCTGGTCAGTGGCCACATGTCCTATGATCACAGTAAGGAGGGCTGAGGGAGAGAGGACGGGAGTCTCATCTCCATTTCATAGGCTCATACCAGCAAAGATCTCTGATTGGCGTAGGCCTTGCCCTTGTGCTCCCACATCCTAATCACCATTAGCGGCGCCATCTCTGAATCCAAGACCGCACATGTAACCATCGTCATCCTAGGCCATGGTATGAAGCTCCAAGTCCTTGGCCACAGTTCAGGGAAAGAAGTGTGATCTAAGTTGGGCAAAAGTGACTCATCTCAGTCCTTAAACAATAAGTTAGTGTGAGCCTGGGGCTGCTGGTGGTGATCTTCACCACCTTCAGGGAGACTGCCTGAGCCCATGAGTGGAGCAGAGAGATGGAGAGAAATTATGTCTTCACATCATCATTTGAGTCCCTGGATCCAGCCAAGTCACCTTTTCAGTTACATGAACCAATAAATTCCTTTGAATTAAGCTAGTTCTGTGTTAAGAGTTCCGTATCTTGCAGCTGTTAGTGTTCTGACAATAATCTTGGCATCCCAGGCCTTCACGGGCTGGGCCCATCCACCCAACCACTCCCCTCTAGTGAGTATCACCACTGCTTAAAACACTGACTCTGTCTTCCCTAAAGCCCATCCCTTTCTTTCCTACTTTCACACCATTGATTACATCATTCTCTCATGAAAGCCTACCCATTCTTCAAGGCCCATATTAAGTCTCTCCTCCTTCATGGAGCCTTCCTGGATGTCCTGAGGGGCATCAAGTGCCCCTTGTCAGGTTTTCTTTTTCCTGACAGCTGGATTGTTACTCCCTTGAGGGCAAAGACTGTATGTGTTAATATCTTTGCATCCTTCACAAAGCACATCGTGTTCAGTGTATTTTGTGAGTGAAGGCTGCATAAGAAAGCATGACCCCCGGCCCAAATGAACTTATAATGTAAAAAACAAGAAAGACATAAAGCCTGCCAACATAATAGAAATAGTGTGTATGTGTATCCAAGTGCACACACGTGCAAATTTCCCTCACCACTCTACCAGAGCACGAAGAGGCAAACAGGTGGGAAAGAATGAGTAAGGGACAGGTTCCCCCCTTATTAAAATAAAACCCACCCACCATCCCAAGGTTATTCCAAAATTCCCCCCAAATTCCCAATTCCCCACCAATAGTGGTGGCACTAGAAAGCTAGGTGAGTAAACCCCAAGAGGAAGGCAAAACCAAGGCGGGGAACTGGGCCACAGGGTCTAGCCAGATCTCACCAAGAAGAAAAGGTCCTTTTCAGGGCTAGCTGCCATTTTGCTACAGAGACAGAGGACAGGAAGCTTCCAAAAAGGGCTGTCTGCAGGCCCTGCGCCTTTGGGCCCCGTTCTCATAGCGAGGTACAAGCCCTTGAACAAGATGGAACCACAGACGTCCCTTTGAAAGTTCTTTCATCACCAAACTCTTCAGACACATGGTTGGGCTGAGAGAAAGAGATCTCTCCTTGAACATCCTGTGAAGCCCCTCACCATCACTGTGTTGTTTTCCCACTCAGTGGAGCACGCTGACCTGGCCAACAGGAGTCCTCCAGCTCTAAGAGACCAGTGAAATCCTTCCTGAGGAAACTGCCCCCTCCCTCTGGCCCCAGCAACAAAGCCAAGCATTTTCTCCAAAGCTTACAGTGAGGAACAGATATCTTAACTCTCAAACTGTGTCCCTAACAGAGTGCCTTCACTGCAGGTGGACCCACTCAAAGAGGAGACACTTGCTCCCCTCCATGCACCTCCCAACTCCCATTAAAATGCCATTCCCACAAAAAATGCAGGGGAGGAGGAAAGATTCTGGGCTACTTGAAAACAAGGGCCATAAAGTTTACTAGTTCCTTTGTGTCTCCCCATAGAACCTTGTGACCCATTAATTTAGTGGCTGAGTGTGTGGACATTTACGGATGAGATGTCAACTGAAAAGACTCTCTAGTTATCTTAAGATAACTGCTCTCCCCCAAGATGCAACAACCTCTCTTCCTCTGTTCCTCCAGGTTCTCTCCTTGCTGCCCCTCACATCCCACATCTTCTCAAGCAAGAGCCCCTCTATGCCTGTACTGCTGGCTCTGCCTTCCATCAAGCGATGGGTCAGCAGGGACTGGGGTTCCTGAGTTCCCTACTCCAACACCTGGCTCAGACACGACACCGGGCCCTAAGGGCCAACTGTGACTGCTCTCTTCTTCCTCTTCTGCCAGGTCCCAGGTCCCCCGCTTCCCATGCCCCCATACTCCTCACTTAACTCCAGGCCAACCCTCCTTTATACCGTCAGAGTCATTAAAATAACCCTGGGTCCCTCCTTTCTCTTCTCACAATCCTCCCAGGGCTCCCCACTGCTTTTAGTGCCTTAAATGGGACCCCCTCACCTTTCTAAGCTCTTTTCTCACCACACCCTGGCCACCAGTTGTGCTTCTGCTCTTGCTGTTGCTCAGCAGGAAGTGCCCCCACTCCACCTCCAAACACTCGCACATTAACTGGCTGAAGCTGCCTCTTCCATGAAGCCTTTTATAATCACTCAGGTCAGAACCAGCCTCCCTCTTGGCACAGCACTGTTCCTGGCTGTCCATTAGACCACTTACTTCACTGTGCCTTTTTGTGGACAAATCCATCTCCTGAACTAAGAATATAAAGTCCTTGGAGACAGGAACCCTGAAGGTCATCACGTTTCTCTCATGGTGCCAAACAGTGCTTTGTACCCAACACAAGGCGCCTTTCATAAATGTCTGAAATGAAGTGAAATGGGAGAGAACACATTCCTAACTCCCAAGAAAGACATGTACTCTTCCCAGGAATAAAAAAAGAACACTGAAATGGGCTGCCTTAAGCTCTTTTACCACGATACACATTTGGGGCCTGGTGTGTTGGCTGAATGTATGAAGGAATGAAGGAAGGGAATGTGGGTAACCATTCGAGGCATTGACACTGAAAAGCTCTTCTACAAGTTATACTCCCAGAACTGTTTCCACTCACATGCCTCTCCCCGTAAGCAATCATTCCCTGGTGGTTTCAAAAGAAAGTGCAGTGTCTTCTGCAAGTCCTAGCCCTAAAGAAGTCTACTTTTTCCCACACAATGGCTAGAGTTCCAAAGCAGTTCTCTTGTCCACAGCTAACCAGCAGATGGAAAGAGAAGAGCTCAGGGTCTGAGGTCAAGGACTTGGGCGGGAGGCATCTATTGCTCTTAGTTGTGGAACCTTGGTGTGGAAGTTGTCGGGATTAGGAGGATCGTATAAGTGGAAATGCCTTGCATGGAGTAGGCACATGCAAGTCCCTTCTAACTTTTTTTTTAATTACATACCTCATCGCTTTCTCCTGCTTCTCTAAGAGGAAGGGAACAAACCAAATCAGGGAAACTGCGACAGAAAAATGACAGGGAGCCATTGGCATTTACATTCTTATTTGTGGTTTCTGTTTTTTTGTTTTGTTTTGCTTTTAATTTTTTTTCTAGAAAAAAAAACACAACCAGGGGAATTTATATGACAAACTATCAGTGTCAGGATGGCAAGGGGAAAGAGAAAGAAAGGCCAGAGGCATGGGAAGCTAATAAAAAGTGGGTTCTGAACCATGTGGAATGGCCCACAGGGTCATGTCCGGGTCCTTAGGAGATGACTGGTCACATGGCATGCGTGTTCAGTGCCCAGTCTCCTGGTCTGCCCGCTCAGACACCCACGGTCAGAGAGAGCTGGCCACACCCTGGAAATATGACAAAGACAAACTCGGACTTTACAGAAAGACAAGACTTAATTTAGCTCCTTGGCTTTGTGCTCAGGTATCATACGGCAGTCTTTCTTGCCTAAGAGAAGAGTCTGGAAGAGTGAGAGAGTCACCATGGGACACACTTTGGCATCACAGTGAACTCCAGGCAGCCGCTCACTCATGTGTGGACATGGTCTTCACCACCCACACACGTGTCTGTCCAGACATCTCCAGGCAGTCTGGCCAAAGAAGGACAAGGGGAATGACAGTTCCTTTCTAGCCACAGTTCAACAGTGCTGTCCATTCTCCAGTCTTGCTCTGTCTATCGCCTGTGGGAAGAGACTGGGATCCATCTGCTTTTCAGCCCAGCACTGGACACTGATTCCAAAGAAATTTGGCCATCTGGATCCACATTGAAGGTCTCTCAAGTTTCTCCCTCTTTATGCCCCAGATCTCAGGACAGAAAATTCAGCCAGACCCAGAGCCACACATGTGGCAAACTGGGTAGCCAGAGTGATGGCTGGGCAAGAAAGAGCCAATAGCACACTGCAAGACCAGAGTACATTCAAGAAGGGGAAAGGGGCATGCAGCAAGCTGTTGCCCCAAGTCACAGTCTAGGGGACACACGGAGCCTGAAGGACACAGGCAGGTCCACTAGTCTGTCAGGGTAGTTCTGACACCTCACGCAATCGGGCCCCACTGGTTGTGATTCCTATGTGGCGAGTGGTGGGTTTCCTGCCCTGCTGTGGCCCCTGTTCCTGCACAGAGGCCAGGTTACATCTCAGTGCCACAGTCCTGAGGAGCACCACGCTGGCCAGCCAGCCAGGCCACAGTCCTCAGCCCCTTGGGTTGACAGGGCTCTGGCTTCCACAGGAAGGCCCCAGGGAGCCGTGATCACTAGGAGGGAGGGAGCAAGAGAACAGGGCTGCATTCTGCTGGGAGAGATTCAGGGAGGAACTACCATGGGCTGGAAGGAGCTGCGACCCCAAAGACTGCAGAGCCAAAGGGAACGGGATAAATATCAGAAAAACAACAACAGTCTTGTTGCTAGTTTAAAAAGAGAGTATTGTTGCTGTTGCTTGTTTTTTTTTTTTTTCCTTTTAAAACCACGCACATTTTAAAAGATGAAGGGGTGGGGGAGATTCAGCCCCTTCACTCTGATCCTTTATGGGCACCAGGTGCTGCCTTCCTTGCCTGGGCTCAGCCACCCAAGCAAGGGCAGGACGGGGAGAGCACTGGCTTTACTTCCCAACGGCAATCCTTCTCCCCGTAAAACCAGACCACACGCGATGGGAAGTCCAAAGACTAAAGTGCAGAGAATTCCACGGAGTGGGCGGCCTGGTGCTGGGCACTCCAAGAAGGAATGGGGGGAGGGGGTCAGCCCAGAGCTACGCTGCAACAATCAGTGGAAACAAACAGTGACTGTTATGAAGTGTGCCTGCAGGGCACAGTCCCCTTTCCCTTGGGCCCTGTTGACACTGCTTCTATCTGGGACTGTCCAAGGTCAGCAGCTCCCCAAGGAAAGTCCCAGTCTCAAACATATGGCCCGTGAAGGGAGAAAACTTGTATGGCCATCCCTGGTTGGTAATGTAGTGACTGTGAAGGGAGAGGAATGTGGCAAGAGGGGAAACAGTGCATTATATCAAATCGGTGAATCCCAGGTTTTGAGAGCACGGATACAGGAACAACCCTAAAGGCAGAGTCTCTCCTGGGGAAGATTTGGTGAAGATGGTCAGGATCCTACCAGTGAGGCCTGCTGGGGAAAGGAGCTCCTCAGGGTGTGAGAGGCGCTGCACAGTGGGGGAGGGCTGCAGAGGAAGAAAGCCCAGGCTGGCGTTAGGGAGTGTAGGCCGGAGGCGGCTGGAATTGGTTGATGACCTCATACTCTGCTGGGTAGGGCTCATTCTCCTCCATCTCGGAGAGCAGCTCCAGCGCCTGCTCCTCTTCCTCCGTGGGGTAGTGGCGCAGGAGGTTGGCTGCCGTAGCCAGGATTGAGGCTCCGCCAGCTCCTGCCACCAGGTAGAAGCTAACAGCAAAGGTGACATAAACCTGGGAACCATGGTACTTCTTATGTTGCTGTTGCTGGGCCAGGATGAGTTCGGAAGCCCAGTAAGAAAATCCAATGACGGTGGCACACTGCAGGACTAGGGGACAGAGGGACAGCACAGAAAGGGGGTTAGCAGGCACCCTGCGGCCAGGATGCTTAAGGAACCAACTGCAGCCTCTCTACTCAAACCCCATTCTCAGAGAACCTGCCTGGGCCCAGTCCCCGCAAGGGGAGCTGTCTTGGCCATAGGATTCTCAGGTTGGGGCTGGGGACAGATGCCTGACCCTGTCTGGGCCAGGCAGATTCTCTCTGTCTTAAGAATCTGGAATTGGGCTGGTAGAAGTCACGGGTGCTTGAAAGGAACAGACAAGGTCATGAAGTTTGGGAGCTGGAGTCAGCACCACCAGTCAAACCAACGCACCAGCCCAGTCCTGAGGGAGGAGAGAAGCCACGAGCAAGCAGAGAAGCCTGGTCTGCGGGGAAGCAGGAAGGGGCAGGAGAGTGAAGCCGACGAGACCAGGCACTCCAGGGGAAACACACTGAGTTACTCTGGTTCTTTCCTTGCTTATGCCAGGCCCCACGAGCCCGGCTGAGCTTCACATCCAGTTCCTGGAGAGCCATGAGATTTCTTGTGGAATTCTAACAATATTCCCTCCCTACAGCTGGGCCAAGTGGGTTTGTGGTCCTGGCAGGCGTATATGCAAATGACAGAAGCAAGCTGCTAGCACGCCCCAGTGCTCTGTGAAAGGCTAGAGCTGAAATGAGCATCTGTAACAGTGTCTGCTCGTAGAAACCCCTTCCTCTCCAACTGCAACTCCAGAAGGGATGTCCCCGCCCTGGGGTAGTTCCTACCCCACTGAGAGCAGGCCCAGGCTTACCTGTGAGGATGTGGGCAAAGGCATAGCGACGGGTGATCTTCAGGGCTGGATGCTTGGGCCCAAAGACATCGAGAAGGAACGCGGAGAGACTACACAGGATGCCCAGGAAGCAGAAGGCGGCGATGACCCGCAGGAGCAGTACTGTCTGAGGATTCATGCAGAAATCTGTAGGGGGAGAACCAAATCTTCTGGGCCCCCAGCAACACCCTAGTGTAGGAAGCCCCCACCTGGGAGAAGTTTGTCCCCCTCTGCCACAGTCCTAGGGAGCTAGGGAGTACTGGAGGGAGCGGTCTTAGCTCCTGCTCCCAGCTGGCCTGCAGAGGAGGCGGAACAGCCTCCATATCAGCAGACAGAAACCCTGGGTCACTGCTCCCAGGTGCCTCAAGTCTTCTTCCCTTTCCAACAACGCTAGTCTAAGTGCACGACTCCACTTCATTGTACTTGCCACGCTCTTCTAACCATTTTTAAAGACCCTGACAATTAATCTGCCATGTTAACTCATTCTGCTAAAGAATGCTTTGGGCTAGCAGGAAAAGCCCGGCGACCTCTGAGCTGAGGCAGCCAAAGAGGCTAAGGCCAGAGGCCGATTAATGCCGATTCTCTATCCAGTCACCCATTCATTCTCTTTTTGTTCAAAAAGAAGCTGAAGGGCCGGCCCCGTGGCTTAGCGGTTAAGTGCGTGCGCTCTGATGCTGGCGGCCCGGGTTCGGATCCCGGGCGCGCACAGACCCAGCGCTTCTCCCGCCATGCTGAGGCCAAGTCCCACATACAGCAACTAGAAGGATGTGCAACTATGACATACAACTATCTACTGGGGCTTTGGGGGAAAAAAAAAAAAAAAAAAAAAAAAAACAACAACAACAAAAAAAAAAACAAAAAGAAGCTGAAGAACTTGAGAGAAACATATAACTAGAAGAGAGCACTAAATAAATTAGGAAAGATGGTAGGCCGGACCTTCACATTTATTTTTGCTCCCTCCCTAAACTCTACTAAAACAAAAGAAAAAAATTTTTTAAAGGCATAAACCCACACAAAGAGGAGAGGGGCAAAACAAAATTCTGGAAACTGGCAAGTCAAGGGATTTAGAACTACTTAGAACTGACTTAACAGACTAGATAAGCCGAGGTGTAAGCCAGAAGTAGGCAAAGCTAAGAAGCAACTAGATTTACACCACAAAAGCCTGAAGGGCCCAGAAATTGACAGCACCAAATACCTTCTAAAATGAGGGCAAAGACAGTGAGCGGTGCATGCTCTACCAAAATGAGGGAGTAAACCAAGGAAAGGAAGACACTGAAACACGGCGCCCAACATTCAAAGAGTCCCCAGGGTCATGGTGAAGGGAGATTCCAGGATGACAACTAACTGTACGCCAGACACAGAGCAACCTATATTTCCTTCTAGGACTTTAATAGAATTCTTATTTTTTTTAAATTTCATCTAGACAACACTGTCAGTCCCCTTTGATATCTACACAGACTGTCATAGTTCCCAGAAACACATAGACAGAATAAAGGCTGATCTAAAAAGACACCATTTTAAGCTTTAATAAAAAGTGGGAAATGGGCCTTAACTTCCTCTCCTTCCTCTAGTCCAGCCATTGGCAAGCTCTTCTTTCATTTACACCATGGTCACCAAGTGATTTAGGAAAATTTAGAAAGGGCTGGCAAGACTCAGACTATAGGCTCCTTTCCTGAGTCTTGATCTCAGGCTGAGAAGCTATGGGACAGTGGTCATCTCTCTCTAGCGCACATCAGAATCCCTGGGGTGCTGGCTGAAAGCATATTCCCAGGCCCCAGAGATTCTGAGTTCTCGGTCTAGAGCAGAGCCTAAGAATCTGGATTTTAACCAGCAGCCCAGGTAATTCCCACACAGGTGGCTCAAGCCTTACACGCGAAGAAACACTGATACCGGACCTAGAGGAAGGTAGGTCCAAGAACCTGGGGAGTGGGGGGAACCTGAATCCCACAAAGCAGATTCTAACCAACAGACATTGGCATCATGGGGTCTTGGGCAGAGGGGCCAGCCTCCCACACCAAAGAACCAGATATCAAGAGGCCCTGGGCCTTTATGACAGCAAGCATTTCCTGCCTCAGGCTCAGAATTCACCAGGCAGATGTTGGCTGAGCCCACACAAGACTCATATGCTTCGATATGGCTTCAAGTCAACCACTATGCTGCCTTCAGAGCTAACTGTCACTTTCTTGTCAACTGACCATCTGTTTTGGGCCCAACCATCCAGCCTGGGTGAAAGCCTACAGCCAGGAGGCTTGCCTGTGCATTAGCTCTGCCAGCAACCAGCATCTGCCTTCACTGAACCCAGCCCTGCACAGCTGAAGACAGCGCTGGGGTCTGAAAGAGTCTAGAAACCCATGGGGCCTCAATGAGAGAAAAGCTCCTGGAGACAGGGCTGTCTCCTGGCTTTATTTTGAATATTGTTAAAAGCTGTCTGTGATAGTTCTTCCTGAAGTCCACATGGCACGTGGCAGGGACCGGGCAGGACGAAAGTGTTCTTCTAGTGCTGCCAAGAATAACCTGTGAGCGGCAGGGTGTGAGGGCTTACATCACACTCTGCTCTGCAGCAGGCTGTGTGCAGATTCCATCCGCATTACTCAATGTGGCCAGGCACTCGAGTGACGCTTTAATTGTGGTTAAATCAACCACAACTGGGTAAAAATCAACTCAATTTTAATTTAACAACTACTTTTACCCGAAAAAAGTACTACGTGGGGGCTTCAAAGATACTTTCTTCAGCTGCACAGTGAGTGCAAGATGTCCATTTTATTAGCATCCTTAAAAATGTACAACTATCATATACACTCCTATGTGTCTTATGTTTCATAATACACTTATTCTAATAATAAAGAAGACTCGCACATGATAAAAAGCTTCAGAGAGGACATCCTTCCCCTTCCAGATGTCCAACTGCCCTTCCCAAGAGACAAACATTGTTAGCAGTTTCTTTTGTACCCCTCCAGGAATAGCCTGTGCACACAGATGGGTCAAATGTTATTTCAGTCAAGCCTCACTCCACTCTGGGGGCTTCATCACATAGCTCAGATGAGGAGTCGGAGGCTCGAGGAGGTTACGTGACTTCCTTGGGGTCACACAGCACAGAGCTAGACCCCAAACCTGGGTCAGGCTCCCTTGCATTGTGATGCTAGGAATCCCCAAGCTATTTTATTTTTCCCTGATGGAGATAATTAATCAAATCCTGAAGAGTTGTATTTGAATGAAGGGTCAAAAGCTAATATGAATGCTGTCATTCAATGAGAGCCATCCTCAGAGCCAGCAGCTGCTGAGCTCAGTAAGGGAATAGCTGGAAGCAAGAAATCTCTTCTAGGCAAAAGGTTTGGGTCATTAAGCAATGAAAAGTGCTCATACCGGGAATTATTGGGCAAAACCTGCTTGGTGTGGTCTAAGCTTCTACAGGCATCAGAGTCTGGCTCTTAGAAACAGTGGGGACACCAGAAAGTCACTAGACTTGGCATCAAATCCTAGACCTACCACAGACTATATGTTACCTTGAGCAAGTCACTTAACTGCCCTCGGCCTCTGCCCTCTCATCTATTGGATAAAAGCAGTAACGCCTGCCCCCTCTACACAGGGTCACACTGGGAGAGTCAACTCACACTGGGCTGTGAATGAGCAGCCATCCATACTGTTACTGCCCCACTCCCTCTGCGCTCGGCTGTTTCAGCTGGGCCACAGCAGTGTCACCCCTGGCGTGCCTTTCCTCCTTACACCAAGACTTCCTCATCCACACATCAGCCAGTGTGGGCCAGAGAAAGAACCCACTAAAGCTAGACTAAGGATCTGCCCCACCAGAGTGATGATGCAGTACAGGCAAGGGGCGTGTGACCCAAAATTCAAACAGGTTTTGTTTCAAAGTGACTGCCTTTCTTGACTCTAAAGCTGTGAGTAAACCCTCAGGCTTAGTAGGGAAGCCAAATGTAAAGTTCCCTGAAGTGATGCTAATAGACAACCCAGAAGCCTGCCCCACATCCTAGGCAGTCTTTCATCAGAGGGTCTGGGAGCACAAAGAGAGGACAGGCAGAGTTATCCCAGACACACTCAGAACCCAGCTCAGACTCTCCTGGAGGCAGGATCTCAATGTCTCTTTCTCTCCTCCCCTGCCAGACATCAGTATGGCAGGGAGGGCAACGAATATCTGCGCCCTTGAGAGGGCTGCTAAAGATAAACAAAATTCTCAAATGTTATGAATGTATTATTTTATTTGTGGAGAGAAGGACACGGGGCAGGCTCCTAATTTTAAATTCAAACCAGTGGTGCGGTTCACTACACTCTGGTAAGACAGAGAGCACATCCTATCCTCCAATTGTGCCGTGGCCTGTTTATTTTCGTAACTATTGCTTGACTGTCCCTTCCAGTCACCACGGAAGAAGGCAGCTGCTGCGTAATAGGATCCCAAGGACCTGACTTTGCCCAAGGTCACTTTGCCAAGTGAGTCACTGGCTGGGTTTTTTTTTGAAGGCCCTGGCTCTTCCTGTCTACCTGCCCATCGCCTCACCCCCTGCTGCAGGCTGCAGGCAGGAAGGTTAATGTGGCTTCTGGCCAATTTCCTTCTTCTGTCCCATCTCCCCTCCCTTCCCCCACTCAGTGGAGTTCCTCTGAATTAGAGGAACTTCCCACGGCCCCAGTCCTTCTCAGCACTCATCTGTTCCAACTGCGTAGCCTCTCCCCACTGTGACTTTTTAGCTTCCAGACAGGCTTCTGACACAGGACTCCTTCAGTGCCTTCTAGTGCCTGGCTGGGTCTTCACCACAGATACCAATGGTCTTGCCTGAGCTGCCTCTGAGGACGGGGGCAGGGGGGTGGGGTGGGGGAGACGACACCCAGAAGTGCCTGCTGCATAAGGCACCACCCTTCAGGCACACCCGCCCTCCCTGGAAGGCCCTTGATCCTCCAGTGGCTTGTTGTCAATCGTGATTCACCTGACTTCAAATCCCAAACTTCCTCATTCTCCAAAGATGCTGCCCTTTGCTGGCCATACTTGAGAGGCAGAGAGGGACTGGGGCTCAAAAGGAACGATTATCTGAGGCTCCCCTGCTTGGGGCCACTATGAGCCTATCTCTGGACTTGGGCCAGGTTAAAGAGCTATGTGAAAAGCAGGCACCCCCTGGGGAGTGGAAGAACTCAGGAAGGAATCTTTTGAGCTGGCCTGTATTTGCTAAAGCTTTTGGGCTCTGTCTATGACAGTGGGAGGTGAGTGGCTTTGCCTGAGGATCACCAACTTGAGCTGGAACACTGAGGGGATAAGGGATAAAAAGCACAGCTTTGGCTGGACTTATGATAAAAACTCAACTAGAATGGGGTAATAACAATGGGCCGGCCCCGCGGCTTAGCGGTTAAGTGTGCGAGCTCTGCTGCTGGCGGCCCGGGTTAGCATCCCGGGCGTGCACCGACGCACCACTTCTCCAGCCATGCTGAGGCCAAGTCCCACATACAGCAACTAGAAGGATGTGCAACTATGACATACAACTATCTACTGGGGCTTTGGGGGGAAAAATAAATAAATAAAGTTAAAAAAAAATGTAGAATGGGGTAATAACAAGTCTTGGACAGCTCTGACGGAAGGGAAAAGAAACCCAGAGAGCACTAAGGTGTGGTGGTAAGAGTGGAGTCAATGCTGCACAGAATAGCTGTGTGCCCCTGAGCAAATTACCTGACCTCCCTGAACCTGAGACCTGTGTGAAGTGGGGGTGATGACAGTACCTGCCAAATAGAGATGTTGCTTAGGAGAAACTAAAGCCAGGCATGGAGTGTGCTTAGCACAATGCCTGGCACTCAGGCAAGGGGCTGAGAAAAGGGAAGGCACTATCCAAAGCCCGCTGGCCCTGCCCACTCCCCATCACCTGCAGAGACCTGGCAGTGTCTATGCTCTCTCTGGATGCATCTATAAGCACCAGATCTGTGCCCCACGGCTCTGCTTCCTCCTGAGATGGGGAATACCCCAGGCTTCCAGGCTAGGACATCTTTTAGGCCCTGACGACCAGCATAATAACACAGGATACCATATGTCTGAAAGCCCACTGGGTACCAAAAATACAACAGGTACAAAGAAAAGGGAGAAGAGAAGCAACCAGGGACCCCTGATACGTCGCCTTCTTCTGTGATAGCTCATAAGGTACCACTGTCAACTCTCTTATTAATGGACACCAAGTGTTCCTAGCTTGCAATGGCCAAGGAGATGGCCACAGGAAAGCAGGCTGAAACCGTCCATGGATTAAGATCCCTAAACACATGCGCAAACGTAATGTAAAGGTTAAGGCAACATGCATTATAAAAGACAAGATCTGGCTTGAATAATTTCTTAGAAAGGATAAACATATATGTGAACAAAGGAGAACCGGCACCAAGAATTTATTTTTATTTTTTACATGCCTTTGACAAAGATGCACACCAAAGTGGAATAATCGTGTGATCATTCCTTATGACAGCTGAAGTAAAACAAAGGTTAAGAAACATAACATCGGGGCCGGCCTGGCAGTGCAAGCCGTTAAGTGCGCGCCCTGCTGTGGCGCCCTGGGGTTCACCGGTTCGGATCCTGGGCGCGCACCGAGGCACTGCTTGTCAGGCCATGCTGTGGCGGCGTCCCATATAAAGTGGAGGAAGATGGGCATGGATGTTAGCCCAGGGCCAGTCTTCCTCAGCAAAAAGAGGAGGATTGGCAGATGTTAGCACAGGGCTGATCTTCCTCACAAAAAAAAAAGGAAGAAAGAAAGAAATATAACATCATCCTTAAATGACAGCATTATTTTATATTGGAGTCAACAGATGTGAGGTAGACTCAGCTATGCCACCCGCAGCTGTGTGGCCCTGGAGAGATCACTTCACTTCTCTGAGACACAGCTTGCTGGACCTCTGAAATAAGGACATGGGATCAGATTGCCACTCCCTCCATGGGATGAATTTTATGAGCCTCCCCAGGAATGATCTGAAAGGGAGAAGCATCTCCCAGTTCGTAGGTGACACCAAACTCTTGAAACACTGAAACACCAGGGCATCAACTGTGAAGGTCTGGATGAAGTGGTGGAAAGGTAGCAGCTGTGCTTCAAAGAAGGCAAGGCAGGGGAATGCGCTGAGGGAAAACCACCCAGAGTCAACTCAAGCTTGACGGCCTTTCTGCCATCAGCCACACGTCAGAGAAAAAGCTGCATGTCACAAGGCCTCCATCGTGCGTATAATTTGGTCTTAATGAGCCAACCCAGCAAAGGTTATCATCACAGTGAAATCTGGAAACAAACCAGAATGTTTCTCTACAAAAACATCCTAAAGCCTCAAAAGCTCAAGAGAGATGCAAAACAGTACGAGAACTCTCAGAGAAAGACAACATTTAGGCCACAGGATAGGGCTTTTCAGCCTATACCTGCAGAAGTGGTACAGGATCCAAGGCACAGAGGAGAACTTGACCTTTTCACCAAATCCCAATGCCTGAATCCTTAAAGAGGCAATGTGAAGATATTTAACAGAAAAGGCTTCTGATACATGGGGCTTTAAACATCTGGAAGGCATCACAGCCAGGGAGTGCCACAGGGAGAAAACGTGAAGACCTTCAAGAAGGGTTCAAAAGACCTTGGTGGTGATGAACTGTGCTGTTACTAAGGGCTATTTGGGATCCGCTGACCATTTTTCCGGTAAAAGCCAAACAATGCATTCTGTCCTCACACCACACAGCCTTTACCCTCATCACTGGAGACAGGGCTGGGCATGATGAGCCACGGGGCTCCCTGGGACAGGTACCCCCGTATGCCTTGGCCTCCCCTGTGGCCAGTAAAGAGAACAGTCCTTTTCTCCTTTCCTCTGCCTACCTGGGTGGTAAGCGCGATGATGAACAAAGCAGCCTTACCTCAGTCCAGCACACTTGTAACAGTTCCAAGAGCCACATTCCAATTGTTTTACTGAGGGTGGCAATGGAACTGACTTTGGGTTATGGAAAATGCCACAGACTCCCTTTTCCTCTAATAAAAATCCAATTACTATAGAACTAGAAAATATCTTTTAAAATCTAGCCATATTAAAAGTTCCTTTTTCTTCATCAATCAGGCTGCCCCAAAGAAACCTTCCTATATCTCCAGGCTCCTTAGAAGGGGACAGCTAATTGTGATGCCTAGCACCCTTATCTTTTCAGGATATACAGCGCCCTTCCTCTGGTAGAATCCTAAAATAGCAGCAGTATAGATTAGCATGGCGTGGGGAGTAGGTGCTTGGCTGAATAACATCAGAATTAATGAGAGGCCGGACCCCAAACAGAGCCACCTGGTGGGCATGAACACCAGGCAGGAATGGGGCTGTTTCCTTCAAACAAGTACCTGCCCCTGGCTATCTCAGCTCCAGCCCGCACCCATTCTGCTCCCCGCCGAGGAGGCCCTGTCTCCAAGAAAGAAGAGGGCCAGCGCACAGCGCCCTCACCTTTCAGCAGGTCCGGGTGCACGTAGCCCAGCACGTCGGAGACCCCCAGCTCCTGGCGGGAACAGGTGCCACCGTGGATGTGCAGCCAGGCAGGCTCGGCGAGGGCAGTGCACAGCGCCGTGATGGACAGGGCGCCCGGCAGGGCCGAGGCCAGGCTACGCTCCGGCTGCTTGGGCAGAGCGCTGCCACCCGGGCTCCTCCGCCGGCGCCCGCCGGGCAGCCCTGCGCCTCCGGGGGCGTACATGCCCGGGGCCGCCCGCCGTCCCTCCGCGGTCGCTTCCTGTCGCCGCCGACCTCCGCGGGGCGCGCAGAGCCTGCCTGTCCCGGGGAGGAGATCAACGCGCTGGGTTCACGGCAGGTGTGGCCGGCGCAGTGCTGCCAGGGCCGACCCCAGAGGCTTGGGGGTGGGACCCGGGGCCGACAGAGACAGGAGGGCTGCAGGGACTCGGGGGGCGGGGACGGGGTCCCTGAAATGGGGCTGCGGAGGTGCGGGATGAGAACCTGGAGAGGACTGGGGGCCGGCTGGGATCTGGACAGACCCGGGGGGAGGCAGACGGAGGTATCGGCTGCTGGTAGAAGAGAGACCTGGCGTCTCGGCCATCGGGTGCCGAGGGGCGGAGGACCAGGCTGGGCCGCGGAGATGGGGGACCTGGGATCTGGGAACCGGATCTGGGGTGCGACTTTGCCCGGAAAGGACCCTCCCCACACCGACTCCTGTTCCTCACCGGTCAGCAGGCCTCAGGGCCGGGATGCCGCCGCTCCGTCCCGTCACGGGCTCCTCAGCCACCGGCGGCCGACAGTTCCCAGGCCCCAAACCCGCAACGCCCGGACCGACCGGGGCCCGATCCACTTCCGGCTTCCTCCACCTCTACCTCCGCATCCTCCGGTTCCCCGCCCCGTAGCGTCACAGCGCAGGGCCTCACGGGACTGGTAGTTCGAGGCGGTCCCAAGATGCTTTCCGCTGCGGGGTGGGAGGCCGAATACGACTCCCAGAGGGCAGTGCGGCCGCAGCAGCGGGCACTTCAGTTCCCAGGACGACCTGGGCCTTCGGGCGGAAGCGGCTGGACCCGACGTCCGCAGAAGGGCCGTGGCGGCGTCGCGGGGGTTTGCGCAGTGGGCCCCGCAGTCGGCGCGGCTGACTCTATCCATCTCCTCACCCTGCGCCGGGCCGCCATGAAGGACTCGCTGGTGCTGCTGGGCCGTGTTCCGGCGCACCCGGATTCTCGCTGCTGGTTCCTGGCCTGGAACCCCGCGGGAACCCTGCTGGCCTCGTGCGGTGGCGACCGTAGAGTCCGCATCTGGGGCACCGAAGGTCAGGCCCGGCCTCGCTGCGCGACCCCTGCCGCCGAGGGTTCCGCGTGCGCGTGTTGTGGGCGGCAGGCGGACCGTGAGCGGGGTTACAGGGCAAAGGAGAGGAGGGAGAGCCTGCCTTCGAGTTGGACGTTAGACACGCTTTTCGGGCAAGAGAGTAGGCACGTACTAGAGGCAAAAACGTCAATGGACAGGCTGGAACTGTTGAGGGAGTTGTGATAGTTGCTACAGGAAAATGAGGAGAGAGGGTAGTAGGAAAGGAGCCTGCAGAGTAATTGGCTACCGAAGGTAAACTTCAGATTTCATCCCGAGGGCATTTGGGAGCCATAGACAGTTTCAAATCAGGAAGGGGACTCCTCAGATTTGTTTTAGAATGATGCCTCCAGAGGAAGTAGAATCAATTACATCTTTCTAAAAGCGTGTTGTTAAATATGAGGATGGAGCCTTGTGCCCCAGCTTGGCTCTAGCACTAGCCCATATTATCGCATGGCATTACTAGTGCTTCAGCCCTTCTTGTTCACCCAGCTCCAGAGCCTGGCCTGTCCTCTGCTTTTAGGTGACAGCTGGATCTGCAAATCTGTCCTTTCTGAAGGCCACCAGCGCACTGTGCGGAAGGTGGCCTGGTCCCCCTGCGGGAATTACCTGGCCTCTGCCAGCTTTGATGCTACCACTTGCATTTGGAAGAAGAACCAGGATGACTTTGAGGTAACCAGGGTGGATGCGACCAGGATTGTTGCCTGTGAGCTCCCCAGGGCTGGTTCAGAAACCTGAGCCAACCTGAGCCAATTGAGCTGTACCCATGAAAAGGACCCCAGGGGTCTTAGCTGCTGTTGATTCTTGTTCCTCTTACCTTTCAGTGTGTAACCACTCTGGAGGGCCATGAAAATGAGGTCAAGTCAGTGGCCTGGGCCCCATCTGGCAACCTCCTTGCCACCTGCAGCCGAGATAAGAGTGTGTGGGTCTGGGAAGGTGAGTCCAGGTCCCTCCAGGTAGAGCTGGGAGCCAGTGGACAGACATCCCCCTCAGTGTCCCTGACAGGGCCAGCTCATGGGCTCCTTTCTTTGTTCCCCCCACAGTTGATGAAGAAGATGAGTATGAATGTGTCAGTGTCCTCAATTCCCATACACAGGATGTCAAGCATGTGGTTTGGCACCCGAGCCAGGAGGTAAGAGGCAGAGTGTCTTGGTGGGAAGGAATTCTGGTGTGGAGGGTTATGCCCAGCCTTCCTCCACTTTTCAGCCTCAGCCTGGCTATTAAAGGGATCTCTATCTGTGACCAAAGGACATTAATCCCTGTATACCAGCAGATCTCTGGGACTGTCCTGTTCTAGCAGGGAGAGGTACTGGAACCACAGGCACTTCCTGGGCCATACAGACAAGTGCTTTGTTTTCCCTGCTTGCCCCCCACACCCCCCCGCCAGCTGTTAGCCTCTGCCAGCTATGACGACACAGTGAAGCTCTACCGAGAGGAAGAGGATGACTGGGTGTGCTGTGCCACCCTTGAGGGCCACGAATCCACCGTGTGGAGCTTGGCCTTTGACCCCAGTGGTCAGCGCCTGGCGTCTTGCAGCGATGACCGTACTGTGCGCATCTGGCAGCAGTATCCACCAGGCAACGAGCAAGGTGAGGGGCCAGTCGGAGAGCTAAAGGAGACTCATCCATCTCTCATGAGGTTTACCGTCTACTAAGGGGCAGAGACACATAGATGAATCACAGCAAATTAGAGTAGAAAGGGAGATGTGCCACAAGAGGGCTCCAGAGAGTGCTAGAAGAATGAGGGAAAGCTATGTGGAAGACGGGCCATTTCATCCGAACTTGAAAGGATACGTAGGATTTTAACACAAGAAGAGAATTCTGAGTGAAAACAGAACAGCGTGAGCAAAGGCAGTGTAGGTGGGAAAGCCTAGACTTACGCCAGGGACAGTGATTCATTTAGATGGAGCATAGGTTATAAAGGGTTTTGGGAGAAATAAGGTGGGTTGGGCTGGCTGGTGGGTGGCTTTAAAAGGCAGGCTGACTAGTCAGACGTAGTCTGCAGAAAAAGTTTTTTAAAGAACAGGACATTTCCTTCTCAGAATTCTGCTGTAAAAATACCAGTGTGGCCAGTGTGTAAGGCAGATCAGCGAGGATGGGGACAGAGACATGAAGATGAGGACTCATGATTGAAGGTGGGGGTGAGGGAGGGCAAGTTAGGGTCTCCTCTGCAGTGGGGCAGTTACTCCCCTGAGGTGCCCAGGACACAGACGTGTCTTGGGCTCAAGTGAAGTCTGTCGTGCAGGGGTGGCATGCAGCGGCTCTGACCCCAGCTGGAAATGTATCTGCACTTTGTCAGGCTTCCACTCCAGGACCATTTATGACGTCGCTTGGTAAGACCTCCATCTCCCGTCCCCCTACTTCCCCCCCAATTTGGAGAGATTTGGGAGAAGTCAAGACCCTGTGCTACTCTCTACCACCTTTGGGAGTGCATGGGAATGGAGAGCAGCCACTCTCATTTCTTCAGTCAGGCCAGACTGTACTATGCTGGCTTAGAGCTGGCTGGTCTGGGGTTCACAGGAGCAGGGAACAGACTTAAACCCAGGCCTACACCTGTGTTAAGATCCCAGGCTGTGAGGGCAGCACTGGCCTTTGTGGGTCACACGGCATCACACCATCCAGAAATATTTATTATTGAAACTGTGGCTTCATGGCTGGGGTTTCTATGGTTTGGTAACACTGACTCTACCCTTATGCAGTCTACAAGAGCCACACCATTTATGTAGGAGAGTCGGGCAGAGGGCATTTCTGGCCCTAAGAATCTGTCCCTATGAAATAATCCTAAATAATGAAAAAGTCGATGTGCATCTAAGCTTTATTTATATTAGCAAACATTTGGGAATAACAAAAATAGACTTAAGTATAGTAAAATTCAGTGGCCTAGTGTATCACTGTGTAAAAAAATGGTTAAGAATACTTCATGACAAGGGAAACTACTTATGCTAAGTGAGAACAGTGCAGTTCAGAATCATATGTAGTTTTTTAGGTTAATTATATTGGGGGAAAACCTAGTTGCCAGCACTTGAAGACTTAGTGGCTGATGTTTGTGGCTGTATATTATTTAGGGAAGCTCTTCTATAAGATGCTTTTAGCTGAGGCCTGAAGTTTGGGAAGAGAGCAGACCAGGAACTATAGAACCAATGTCTTCTACCTAATTTGCCAGGTTGGGGAGGGAGGAGCCACCTGCATAGACATTGATGTACATGTTCCTCCCAGGTGTCCGCTGACAGGGGCCCTGGCTACAGCTTGTGGGGATGACGCTATCCGAGTGTTTGAGGAGGACCCCAGCTCAGATCCACAGCAGCCCACCTTCTCCCTCACAGCCCACTTGCCTCAGGCCCATTCCCAGGATGTCAACTGTGTGGCCTGGAACCCCAAGGAGCGGGGGCTCTTGGCTTCCTGCAGTGATGATGGGGAGGTGGCCTTCTGGAAATATCAGCGGCCTGAAGGCCTCTGAGCCACCTCTACTTTGGATGGAATCATGGTTCCCCAGAAAATGTCTAAGACTTTCCCAGCCCCTGAGAGGAACTAGAGGAGCATCCTTGACCTTCATTGAACTTGGCTCTCTTCCATTCAGACTTGGGCAGAAGTTCAGAGCCACAGAACCACTCACTCTGTCCCCTCCTTTGACGTGGGGCCCTTGGTAAAGAGCTATAGAACATCAGTACCTTGTAGTTGTGCCACAGATTTTGCTTGCTTTAGGGCACAGTGTTACATTTTGGGGAGTTGAATATACTATTTATAATCACAGTATCTATCTATATGTAGGAGGAGTGTATCTCAGACCTTTCTGAAGTTGTAAGCTTTATAGAAATAATCCATCTGACTCCCAAGTCCTATTTTATATTATAAGGACAGTCAGTTACAATTTAAAAGAATTCCACAGTGAGTCCTTTTCTGAAATAGGTCCTGCCTTCCCACTTTCTGGGTAAATCCTTGCATTTAAGACATTCAATCAATATTGGAGGAAATTTTTTAATGTAGGTTGGTTTAGAGTAAGACACATCTCTGCTTTCCCTTAGAAACCCTCGTGTATCTTGTGTGCCATTATGCTGTGAAGGCAACTGATTATTTTTCGGAATGCCGAAAAATAAATGGGGAAGGACGTGAACCCTAAAAGGGAGAGTTAGTATTGGCCACAGGCCATACATTCTCAGTGGGGATGAAACTGGGTTCTTGGGTGGGAGGAAAAAATCTTGGAGACAGTAATTTGTGGTGCTCCGAAGGACCACGGTACATAAACACACGGTATATCCATGGTATTAAATTTTCACGGTAGGAGCGAGTAGGACAAAGATGTCTAGTAAGGCTCCTTAGGTGAGTGATAATGAAAAAAGGTTGCTGTAGGCAATCAGTTCTTCAGTCACTCAGGTTGTCTTCAGACAGTCACTTCCAAATGGGTGTCAACTTGAGAGGACTGTTCCCAAAGCTACAGCCTTATTTTTTCACACCACAGAAATCATGACCTTAGATTTTGGAAGGACAGCTAGGGCAGTACCTAGAGCAGTGGTTCTCAAAATGTGGTCTGCAGAAGTCCTGAGAGGCTCTCAG